GACACCGTATCGAACAGAAATCCGCTTTCCACCGAAGTGGTTAGGTTACAGCTGTCGCACCCATATTTCGGCGCTGTGGGGCATTGCTGATCGATACTGCCACCGGTCACACCAAGTGAGAAAGACCAGCCGTCTTGCGCTTTCTGAGGCAACCCTCCACTCAAGCCCATGCTCCCCCAGACCCCCGACACTGCCACCCCCTGTTCCCACTTCCTTACCACCTGCAACCACAAGGGCCAAGCCCTCCCCCCTTCAGCACTCCCGACACCGTATCGAACAGAAATCCGCTTTCCACCGAAGTGGTTAGGTTAAAGCTGTCGCACCCATATTTCGGCGCACAAACGTCTTTGCGGCATTGCTGATCGATACTGCCACCGGTCACACCAAGTGAGAAAGACCAGCCGTCTTGCGCTTTCTGAGGCAACCCCCAATCAAGCCCATCCTCCCCCAGACCCCCGACACTGCCACCCCTTGTTCCCACTTCCTTACCACCTTCAACCACAAGGGCCAAGCCCTCCCCCCTTCAGCACTCCCGACACCGTATCGAACAGAAATCCGCTTTCCACCGAAGTGGTTAGGTTAAAGCTGTCGCACCCATATTTCGGCGCACAAACGTCTTTGCGGCATTGCTGATCGATACTGCCACCGGTCACACCAAGAGAAACATCCGCCGTGTTGCTCTTTCTGAGGCAACCCCCACTCAAGCCCATGTTCCGCCGGACCCCCGACACTGCCACCCCCTGTTCCCACTTCCTTACCACCTGCAACCACAAGGGCCAAGCCCTCCCCCCTTCAGCACTCCCGACACCGTATCGAACAGAAATCCGCTTTCCACCGAAGTGGTTAGGTTAAAGCTGTCGCACCCATATTTCGGCGCACAAACGTCTTTGCGGCATTGCTGATCGATACTGCCACCGGTCACACCAAGAGAGAAACACCCGCCGTGTTGCTCTTTCTGAGACACCCCCCACTCAAGCCCATGTTCCCCCAGACCCCCGACACTGCCACCCCCTGTTCCCACTTCCTTACCACCTGCAACCACAAGGGCCAAGCCCTCCCCCCTTCAGCACTCCCGACACCGTATCGAACAGAAATCCGCTTTCCACCGAAGTGGTTAGGTTAAAGCTGTCGCACCCATATTTCGGCGCACAAACGTCTTTGCGGCATTGCTGATCGATACTGCCACCGGTCACACCAAGAGAGAAACACCCGCCGTGTTGCTCTTTCTGAGACACCCCCCACTCAAGCCCATGTTCCCCCAGACCCCCGACACTGCCACCCCCTGTTCCCACTTCCTTACCACCTGCAACCACAAGGGCCAAGCCCTCCCCCCTTCAGCACTCCCGACACCGTATCGAACAGAAATCCGCTTTCCACCGAAGTGGTTAGGTTAAAGCTGTCGCACCCATATTTCGGCGCACAAACGTCTTTGCGGCATTGCTGATCGATACTGCCACCGGTCACACCAAGAGAGAAAGACCCGCCGTCTTGCGCTTTCTGAAGCAACCCCCAATCAAGCCCATGCTCCCCCAGACCCCCGACACTGCCACCCCGTGTTCCCACTTCCTTGCCACCTTCAACCACAAGGGCCAAGCCCTCCCCCCTTAAGCACTCTCGACACCGTATCGAACAGAAATCCGCTTTCCACCGAAGTGGTTAGGTTACAGCTGTCGCACCCATATTTCGGCGCTGTGGGGCATTGCTGATCGATATTGCCACCGGTCACACCGAGAGAGAAACATCCGCCGTCTTGCTCTTTCTGAGGCAACCCCCACTCAAGCCCATGTTCCGCCGGACCGCCGACACTGCTACCTCCTTTTCCTACTTCCTTCCCACCTGCAACC